AAACCGTATACCATCGGCCTCTCCTCTCTTTGCTGTTCTTCTATCTCTTCCCACTTCAGCCTGTCCTGGTACCCCAGATAAAGCGTCCATAAGCAAAGTTATTCATGGATCATCGCGCTGTGCAGAGAACATTGTGTCGATGTCGAGAGCTGACAGGGCCTGTTCTACAAGCAGCCTCAGTGGACAGTGGTGATCGCAAGAGCGCATCAGCATCGGCATGTTGGCAGCCGGAACGGTACACGACACAGATGTCATTCTCTTGAAGTCGCAGAGCCCCTTGAGCAAGGCGACCTGATGGATCCTTTAGCGACGACAACCAACATAAGGCATGGTCTGTAACTACAGCAAACGTGCAGCCATATAAATATGGGGGAAACTTGACAATCGCCCAAAGTATGGCTAAGCACTCCTTTTCGGTAACACTGTAGTTTACCTCAGCCTTGTTGCGCGTTCTGCTGGCGTAGGCGACAACATACTCAGGGAATCCAGGTTTGCGTTGTGCGAGAACTGCACCGAGACCAACACCACTGGCGTCTGTATGAATCTCAGTTGCAGCCATGGGATCATAGTGGCGCATTATAGGTGGTGATGTCAAGAGACGGCGAAGAGTGGTAAATGTGTGATCACACTCAGAAGACCATGACGAGATGTCGTTGGCACTCCTTAAAAGTTGGTAAAAGGGGCAATTATGGAGGCAAAGTTGTGCACAAACTGACGAAAGTACGAGGACAATTCTACGAAGCTGCGTAACTGTTTTACAGTCGTCGATTTGGGGAATTCAGCGACAGCGCGTAGTTTAGCCGTGTCGTGAAGAACGTCATCCTTTGATACGACGTGACCGAGAATGGTGAGCTTCCGAGCAGCGAAGTGACATTTCTTGAGATTCAGTTGGAGCTGCACATTGTTCAGAAACGTGAGGACATGTTTCAGGCGTCAAGATGTGTTTCAAAATCGGGTGCAAACACGACGATATTGTCGAGGTAGGAGAGGCATATGTTCCATTTCAAACCACGCAGAACCGAGTCCATCATGCGCTCGAATGTGGCCGGTGTATTGCAGAGGCCGAAGGGCATGAAATTAAACTCATATAGCCCGTCCGGTGCATGAAGGCTGTTTTTGGACGATCGGCATCTGCTAAGGGCACCTGCCAATACCCAAACGCCAATCTAACGACGAAAAAAACTTGGCACCTTGTAAGCAATCAAGGGCGTCATCAATCCTGGGCAAAGGGTGTACGTCTTTGCGAGTGATCTTATTTAAATGCCTGTAATCATTGCAGAAGCGAATTGTACCATCCTTCTTAACAAGAATGACAGGTGATGCCCATGGACTTTGGGAAGGTCGGATAACGTCGCGCTTGAGCATATTGTCAACCTGTTAAGTGATAACCTGACGTTCCGTGGTGGAAACACGGTATGGTCGCTGTCATACTGGCGCGTTGGAACCTGTGTCGATGCAGTGAAAAAAACTGGAGTTCGGCCAAGGGTAGGTTGAGCAACGTCAAAGGATTCACGGAACTGGTAGAGCAGCTGAAGAAGCTCAGAGCGTTCAGCTGGCGATAGTCCGTTGGCGATCTATGAATCGAAAAGCTCGGAAGCTGGTACATTGGACGGGTTGAAGGCACTGATGGTGTCGTAGTCACCGGAACAATCTGGCGGCATAGTAAAAATTTGTTCTTTATCAATGGCATGCACGTGTCTAAGAGCTTCACGTTGAAACAGTTCGACGGGATACGGAAGGGGATTGGTGAAGCAAAGAGCACTGTTTTCTTCAGAAATGGAGAGGGTTGAATAAGGCAGAAGAAGAGATCTTCGATTAAAGAAGAGGCTTGATGGTTCAAAGATTGCAGCTTTGTTCCTAATGCCGTCACAGAACACGGGGAGCAACACAGCTGCTGCCGGAGGAATTTCAGTGCCTTCTTTAACGACGAGTTTGTGTACGGCGGGCTGAATGCGATTGGTTGGTTGGTCGTAAAATGGGAAGAGTTCAAGTTCCGATCGTGCACGATCAATAACAGCGTGGTTACGCAATAAAAAATCCCATCTGAGTATAATGTCATGTGAGCATGACGAAGGGACAATAAACTCAACAGTGTAGTGGTCCTTTGCGATGATCAGTCGGACAGTACAGGCGGCTACAGGCTGAACCGGGTCCCCATTCGCTGTTTGCAAGGACATCGTATCAATAGGCGTAGTCACTTTTCGGAGCTTGCGGCAAAGTTTAGCGTCTATCATGGAAACGGCAGCACTGGTATCCACTAGAGCATATGCTCGAATACCTTCTACAAAAACTTCGACAATATTCGACGGCAATGTCCGAGGACTTGAGCATTTCGACAGAACAGTTCTTGCCTCCTGAACTGCGGGGGTTAGTTTCCCTCGTGTTCAGGAGCTGGCCAACGATGCATGGTGACAGGGAACGACGATGGGGTAAAGATGAGTGACCAGACATAGTACCCGGACATTCCCGTGAAGACGAGCTTTCAGACGAGGAGTAAGGTCCATGAAGCTGTTCTGTGTCCTGGCGGTGAGCAAAAGGCAGTAGAGAAAGCTGCCGATCCACTTTCTCTCGCACGAAGTCTTTCATTTGTGCGAGAAGGTTTGTCTGGTCACTCATGACGTCCAGTGCGGTCACTGTTTGAATTGTTTGGAATGAGCGTCACGTCTGAGCTCGTTGCCTTTGCAATTCATCATAGCACTGACACAAAGTCACTACTTCGGCCACAGTGCTAGGAGACTTCGCGAGAAGCATCCGGAAAACGTGATTGTCGACGCCCTTCATAATGCGCTGTATCTTTGCACTCTTGCTCATGGAAGCATCGACGCGCCGGCAGAGGTCGATCACATTTTCTATATATGAGGTGAAAGTTTCACCTGGCTCCTGTGCCCGTGTGCACAGACGTTGTTTGGCGCGTAGCTTCCGTAAAGCAGGGCAACCAAAAACAGCACAAATCGCCTTCTTGAAGACGGACCAGTTCGCGAACTCGGTCTCGTGGTTCATATACCACAGCTTGGCCACGTTGGTGAGATAAAAATTGACAGTGCCCAACTTAGCAGCGTCATCCCACCTGTTGGGTCCCCTGACTTTCCCGTATGACAACATCCAGTCCTCGACATTTTGGTCTTCGGTGCCCGCAAAGATCGGGGGGTCTCACTGGTGAACCGGGCCGGGGCAAGTAGGGGCTGCTAGAGGTACCGTTTGTTGAGCAGCGTCAACTTGCATGGTCGATGGCAGGGTGCGGGTCAGAGTTCCAAAGTGTAGGCGATGTGGTTACCCAGTACCTCCATTAAATGTAAAGAGGTTTATTGGGCGAACCTAACGGGCAATTGGAAGATTCGAGATAGCGACAGGACGAGGAAGAAGGTGGAGCTCGAGCGCCAATCTCATGGTACCTTACTCTGCAATGATGCTTGTTGTTCCCTGGTGTTGTCATCATTTCTTCATTATACTTAGAAAAGTTTTGCAGTGCGCCGATACGACTACCTATATGTAATGCGAGTTGCCTAAATGGAGGCTAGGCAGATGTTAGTGTGGTCAGTGACTAGCTTGATCAGTATCGAAAGGCCAATAAAAGGAATGGTGATATCAGCATTATAAGTTACACCAATCACAGTGTCTCTGTTCAAGAACAATGGGGGCCAGGACCTTGATGCCGTCACAGGCATGTTGATGGCCATGACATTCGTGCAGGAGCTCAGTAATCCTTGATTTTAATTGGCATCAGGGACTCGAGTTTTTTGAAGATTGTCTGCAGGTCCAGGTACCTCAAATTGTCTGATGCTGTTACTATATTTGCCCAATTCCATTGTACAGAATCAAAAGTGAACATTGCCCCGCCGCGGTGGTCTAGTGGCTAAGGTACTCGGCTGCTGACCCGCAGTTCGGGGGATTGAATCCTAGCTGCGGCAGATGCCTTTCGTTGCTAGGCCAACAACATTCGCTGCTAGGCCACAACAAAATTCACAATCCAGAACAGCGGCACGCATTTTGAAAATTACACACACCAAATAACCATCCAGCTCGTAGGATGTTTCTGTGACAGCAACGCGACATGTCAGGAAACGAAAAATCACAAAGTTAGCTCGCATCATTCAAGCTTAGATAAAATTTTTTTATAGAAGTGTTAAAGTTTTGGGCTTTCTTTATTTCAGGCGGCAAGCTGTTCCATATTTTTGCTCCTATAAATGGCAAATGACGCTCTCCATACGCGTTGTTTGTGGGGGGCAGATTGAAGTTACCAGATGCAGCATTTCTAGTGGGTCGAGAAGTAGTGTAGAACAAGGATGCACCGAAACGGTTGTTGTGCCGTATGATATTATTTACGTAGCAGGATCTCTTTGTTTTATGCATTGCATCAAAAGGTAAAATTTGCATGTCGTTAAAATGTGGTTTACTCGGATGATCATGCTTAGGGTATGTTATTGTTTTTCGAGATCGTTTCTGTAATATTCGAATAGGTTCTAGGTAAGTCTTATAAGTCCATCCCCAAGATTCAATGTAGTATGTAATGTGAGAGTGGATGAATGCGAAGTATAATGTTCGTAAAATGTCTCTATCGAAGTAGTTACGAGCCTGCAGTAAAACATAACATTTGGACGCCGACCTAGTGCAAACTTCCGTTATGTGGTTTTGCCAGTTTAAGTGGTTATCGAAGTAAATGCCAAGGTACTTGTAAAAGGTTGCATGGAGAAGAGAGTGGTTGTCGATAGCTATATTGATGGAGTTAACATTTACAGTCTTGTTACGAGAATGAAAAATTGTATATCTAGTTTTCTTGGTATTAATTGTTAATTTGTTGGCACAAAACCATTTGGAAATTCTTGATAACTCCGAGGTTGTTTTTGATTGTGAGGTTTCTATTGTGAGGTGTCCAAAGATCTTTTTTTAGCCTTACGACTAAGAGCAGGCATAACGTCACCTTCAGAATCCTCATTGCTGATGAATACAGTTTAGCAAATTAACTGTCAGTACCACAGACATGTATATTTTATTTCCTTCAGGTGGCCGCTGGTGGCAGCGGCATTCCTGGAGGGCACTTTTCCAAGTATGTTTCTAGTGTAGCCATTTGAATTGCCAATGACTGAATGCTTGGAAAATCATCTACAACAGTCACCATTTAAACAAAGAGCTGTGCAAGAGACACACGTCATGCCAGAATTTTCAATCACGTGAGAGACGAAGGTTTTAATCTAGGAACATGTATTCTTCTTCTTACACCTAGCCCAAAAGTGTAAGCACTACTAGCCATTTTGAGAAAATAAAATCTAACAATAAATGGAATAAACATTGTCTTTAGCATTTCAACATCATCATGAACAGCTCAACAAATTGGGGGCAGAAGGGAGAGCTATATGCTACTAAAAACTGTAATTTCAAAACAACCACCTGTATGCCACCATTTGAACATGAGAGAGGCAGAAAGTTAATTAGCACTAGCATAGCATGTGAGGAAAGAGTTGAACAATAAAAGGTTTCAATTAGAATCAGTGCTGGATATAGAAGTTTTCATTATTGTTTTAAATTTGTTTTACAGTACACAATTCCACTCACGTTTCTCCTGACTGTGAGCACTACTAAATTAGTAAAGTAATTTTAAACCTGTGCTTACCACCAAGGACTGTACTGGCTTGTCTGGTTGCTGCAGGGACACTAACCAGGCGCACATAGTTAGACATGCTGCCTGGCACTTGCACAGCTGCCGAGCTGCTGCTCTCAGATGTCGTGAGGCTGCTGGTGCCACTTGAAGCGACTGTACCACTTGAGCTCGACGTCTGAACACTAGCAGCCATTGTGACAGCTTTCGACACGGCTTCACCTGTCTGAAAACAAGACATTTCTTTATTGAGGTCCCACCATTGAAAGAAAGTGCATACCATACTATTCCAGGTAAATACATAAGGTTACTATGTTTACTCGCGTAATCTGTACAATTTTCTCCTGATTTAGTGCTACAAAAAGGAGGCACACCTACTGCATGTAAACTTTTTGACACATCTTCACCAACATCTTTGTTTAATGCTGTAATGCCCATGGTGTACGGCTAGGTTTATTATAAGGAATCTCGCCGGTACCCCTCTTCTTCACCTTCCGAGTGTGCTAGGTCATTAGATGTGAACAGCGCTTTATGTGCGACTCCAAACCCAGCCTTTTTTTACTATACTTTTGTAAATTACGGAGCTTCAGACATTGTGAGCAGACTCAGCTCCTTAAGGTAAGCACAAAGTAAAGGATACTTTTATTCAGCATAGCTTCGAACTGCTCTGGCTTCAGTTCAAAGCATCCTCACCCTTCGGGCTTTGACACTCTTCTTTCTTCTGTATTTCTCGAACCAGCCCGGAACGTGGAAACAAGCATAACTTTATTGACTATAGTGGCCAACCCACATTTTTATATCATGTGCAGCGAGAGGCAGAGTTTGCAAAGTTTTAACACAATTTGCACACTTGTTTCAAAGCCCTCAAATGAGGAAATAAAAGAGTCCAGATTACTCTTGCTGGTGCACAAAGATAAAAACATTACTACGACATAATTCCTCCACAGACTGCTGGCACTTCCATGAGCAGGCATCAGCTGCATGAACTGTTTCACCACAGCTGCGGCCAGCAGGCATTTCTGCCTCCAATGTAAAGTGACAGCACCTGAGGAATTGGCACACATGAAATCGAGATTTCTCCAGCACAGCCTGTGTGGAAAGACCTGTTTTTCGCAAGCTCGAAATATTAGCACTCGTGTCATAGGCTGCATCTGTAAAGACTTATTCTGGTCATGATATTTATTTCCAACAGCTGAACGATGCCTTGTTTTTTTTTTCTAGCAATCATCCTATTCATATATGAAGCTCATTCTACCCTAGCCATATAGCTTTGGTTGCTTGCCAGAGGTTTAAGTGGTACACTCACTTCGTCTGGCACAGGCACACTTTTGGGTCTCAGTGGCCTTAGTCGGGCTCTAGATGTAGTGGCAGTCTTTCTAGGGCGTTTGTTGACCCGACTGGTCCCCGCATTCAGTTTGGTGATCATCGAAGATGTTGATGTTGTGGGGCGAGGAGCAATCCTCTGTAGCCGCTTGCTAACTTTAACGGGAACCAATGCCGGTTTTTCCTCCCAGTATCCTTGGGTATACCATATATATGCCCTGCATAGAAATACAAATGAATGCATGTAAGTATGTGGTAGTGATGAACTTCACGTGTGATTAGAATTAGGTGCCTAACACAGTTCATTGCGTCAAAACCAAGCTTGGGAATTGTGGTAAACTCTCCCGACATGCCACATTATGCAAAGCAAAAGAGCAGATGGAGTTAGCAGTCAACTCTAATTAGATGACATTACATCTATTGGCTTACATGGCTATTTCACTGGCACAAATAGTAGCAGTGTGCGATTGATTGATATTTATTTATTTATTTATTTATTTATTTATTTATTTATTTACACATACTGCAGCGCTAAGTGCGCTATGACAGGAGTGGATGTACAAAATACGCGGAATTTTAACAGACAGGAATGAAAATTATGTAAACAGGTAACCTAATACAGATGTGTGGTTATACAAGGTCAAAAGTGCACAAACATGTGATTAACATGAATGAAAATAGAATAAAGAAACAATGCAACTCAAGAGCTAACACCAATGGCAAATAGATGAGGGTATGTTACAGACGCATGTCATGGATGTCGGCTTGAAAATTGGATGATGGGCGTGAACGAATAGTACCAGGTAACAAATTCCTGTCTTCAATAGAACGGGGGAAAAAACTGAACTTGAACATGTTAGTTCGAGCATAGTAAGGCGTTAAGTTTAAGTTGTGATAGCTTCTTGTCGTTGACTAAACTGAACTTGAACATGTTAGTTCGAGCTTAGTAAGGCGTTAAGTTTAAGTTGTGATAGCTTCTTGTCGTTGACTGAGGTACAAAGTTTATGTAGTCTTTCTCATTTGAAAGTTTAACCGAAGACGTCACAATGCTATGCAAGAATTTTAATGACTCTATTAAGCGACGTGAAGAGAGTGAAGTTAAGTTCAGTGAAGAAAGAGTAGAAGAGGGTGAAAAGTCGCGGTCATAGCGATGACATCTGAATCTTACAGCTTTCTTCTGAATTGCTTCTAACCTAATACTGCACTGCTTGTACGGATTCCAAACGACAGATGCGTAGTCTACTATTGGACGAATGAGTGATTTAAATAAGAGAAGCTTAGTTTCCTTCGGAGATTTAGATAGAGTGCGACGTAGATAGCCTAGTTTTTTTAATGCTTTGTTACATACGTAGTCAATGTGCTTAGACCATGTCATATTATGAGTAGAAATGACCCCTAAATACTTATAATCAAGAACCCTATTTACTGCACGGTTATCGAAAGAGTAATCAAAAGCAGGAAATTTACTACAAAAGGACATAAGTACGATTTTTTAAAGTTAATGTTCATTTGCCAGGTTCTGCACCAAACGCAAAAACCAGCAAATGACTCTTGCAAGCGGTAATGGTCAGCGTGTGTTTTAATTACCCACTTTCCAGTCATGAGGAACAGTGCCGAATGAGAGCGATTGCTGAAACATATGAGAAAAAATAACACTGGTGAGATCTTTGGTGTTCTTGAGCACCTTCGCATTGATGCCATCGATGTTGCAGGATGAAGTAAGTTTTAACGATTCGATGATTTTCTGGATGCCTTGAGGTGAAAATATGACATCGGCCATGGGAGGGTAGTTGAGGGGAGATACGTAAGGGGGGTTTATCAATTGGTTCTCTGGTAAAGACAGAAGAAAAAGTAAGGTTTAGTGCTTCAGCTACTTTGTTATAGGCGATAGGCTGTCAAGTATCATCCAATATGGATATGGATTTGTTTTCGTGTTGTGGGTTAATCACCTTCCGAAACTGTTTGGGGTTAGTGCGTAGTGAATTGGGCAAGGTTGTTTCATTAAAGAGTCGTTTCGCTTTATCTACAGCAGAGGAGTACAGTTTTGCTGTGGCCTGATATTTTTGCCACGCCACGGCATTGTTGGTGCTTTTTGCCGAGCGAAATTGTCGCTTCTTTTTGTTTTTAAGACTTTTAAGTTCAAGATTAAATCAGCCGGAAGTGCTACATTCACGAATTTTGATGGCTGGGATGTAAGTACTAATCAGCTCATGCATTTTGGATTCACAACATTAACCAATTTGTTGTAACAGATCTTTCATTAAAATCTTTGAATAATTATTGCCAGAATATTTTTAATTCTTTATTGAAGCTGATATAGTCGCCCTTATCGTATAAGGTGAGCTTTTTGCTTGTTTTCGTGGGCCGGTTCAGTCTACATTAAAAAAACCTATGAATGACCTTATGATCGCTGATTCCATCGAGGTATGAATTTGAGGTGATTCTGTGAGAATGGGTGGTTAATACGAGATCAAGTATATTGGCAGAATTTTCAGATTGCCTTGTTGTTGCATTAACAATTTGAGTTAGGGAAAACGTTAAACACGTATCGACAAAGTTGCTTTCATTGTTTTGTTTCGATGTGATGAAGACGAGATCAGACCAATCTTGTTAGGAAAATTAAAGTCGCCGAATAAGAGAACTGTGGCATTAGGAAATTTAGTCTTCAGGGATTCTAGAGCACCATGAAACATGGGAGTGAACGTGCTGTCGGAATCTGGCGGGCGATAGCATTCTCCTAAGATTACGTGCGAATGAGCGGCTTTACAGCACACAAACACCATTTCAAGTGAGGTAGGTATATTGATGCGGAAGCAGTTAAGGTCTCTGTGAGTAGCAATGAGCACACCACCTCCACGCCGGCTGTCACGGTCAGTACAAAAGACACTGAAATCAGGATGAGCAGGAAATACTTCAACGATATTGATTGAAGAATTGAGGCATGTTTCAGTTAGTACTATAAAGTTTGAATTGGAAGAATCAATTAAGCTGGCTAAGATATCACGCTTTGGTAATACGCTCCTGATGTTAGTAAAAAGAAACGAAAAATAGTCCTTAGCACCATTAGGGCGACCACTGGCTAACTGCTACGGGGCGTGAATGACCTGTTGCCCAGCTGGGTCATACACTAAGTGTTCTTCCCTGCTACAAGCTTGTTGTGACGAAGGCTGCTGGAAAAATTTTGTGTTTTTTTGAATTCGACCAGTTTTTTCTGGCTAGACGAGTAGCTGGACAGAAATCTTGTGCAACATTAATGATTGGGTGTTTGTTATCTCGGCTAAAAAGGAGTACTTTTTCTTTATCTTTAAAATGAGAGAACTTTGCCAAAATTAGTCTAGTTTTGTTAGGTGAATAAGTTCCAAGCCTGT